AGGCAGGGTGCGATGCAGCCCCTCGGGGAGGTGTGGACCCCCAGGGGGCTGTCCACTCCACAGGGAACCCTGTGAAAGGGGACCCCAGGCCACCCAGTCCCCAGAGTCAGTGGCATCTTATTCATCTGCCGCTTCCCAGGAGAGGGCAGATGTTCCCCCTGCTCCATCCCTGGGACACCCTGAGACGGCCACAAGCTGGGGGGAGCAATTTCCACCAGCAAGGAGCCACCATCTGCCCAATCCTCCACCACTTCCTCATCCCCTGGAAGGGTTCCTTCAGCCATGGACCACATTTGTCCTGGCTCTCCCTGCAAGGCACCCACCCCACCTGGGCCACCATCGTGCCTTTACCGAGGCTTACCTGGTCCAGTGCGGTCAAGTCCCCTGCCCCAGGCACATCGGAGGAGGAAAGCTTTCCAGCTCCCCACCACGGGAAGGCAGGGAGGCTGAGTGTCGACAGCCCGTATGGGTAGAAGTACCAAGCTCCTGGGCACGCAGGGGGATGAGACAGTTAAAACAATGGGCTGGTAACAGGCCACATCAGGGGACAGGGTGGACCTGCAGAGGCTCAGCCATCAGCACTGCCTGGAGTTACCAGGAGGCCCCAGCGCAGGGGTGAAGACGCACCAGGGTAGCAGAAGCCATGAGCACTGAGCTCAGGACCATCCCAGCTCATCCCCCAGTACGGCAGTGGGGTGCTCTGCACTGCCCCAGATCTCAGGGCAACAGATCGAGCCGGGCCAACTCACCATAGGCGGCAGCAGCGAGGAGCAGGAGGAGCAACAGCAGAAGCAGGGACCTCTTCAGCCAAGGGTAGCGCCTGGAATAGGGAGAAGAAAGGCATTTCCTACACCTGTAGGACAGCAGCCGCCTTGCCCCACCACAGCACTCCTCTGGATGGGAGCCAGAAGCAAAGCCCAGCCAGGCTTCGGCACAAGACACCCACACCATGCGTGCCAGGCTCTGCGGGGCACCCCCCCCTCTCCGGGGTCCTGCAGGTTTTCCCCATGCCTCCCTCATCCCAGTGTCCTGCCATCACACTCACCTGGAGAAGGGGACGCTGCTCGGGTGGGGAGCCATGCCGGTGAGGCGGTGCCAGGCAGCTGCCAGCCCCGAGAACAGCCACCCCACGAACCGAACTGCCAGGAGAGAAACCGAGCCTCAGGCAGGGTCCCGACAGAGATGTCCACTCCAACCCCAAGGACAAAACCCCTCCACCCGATCAGGGAACAGCACACATGGCATGTGGGGAGTAGAGATGCTGGCAGGGAAGAAAGGTTCTGCCAGAAACCCCCCTGCCAGCCCTCCACTCACCTGGGAAGGTGAGCACCTGCCAGAGGAAGGAGCCCACCCGGGAGGCTGCGGTCCTCAGCCCCGACCCAGAGCTACTCTGGCCTGAGTAAAAGTGACCTGGAGAGGAAGAAGCGAGGCAGTTAAGTGATCAAACAGAGTCTGCATCCCTGTGCATCACCCAGGGCAAAGGTTTTGCACAAGGGGTGGGCCAGGCACTGGGCTGGTCCCTTGGGGACCCCCAGCACCTCTGCCACCACAGAGGTTGGCGCATCCCTACCGGCGTAGTCATCTTCCGAGGAGTACCCAGACGAAGATGCGTAAGTGTCGTACGTCTTGCTCTCCAGCAGCCCATTGACCTTACTGGACTCAGTGTCCCCTGTGCCTCTTCTCCTCCTGGTGGAGAGCTCCCCACCTGCCCCCAAAACACAGAGTCCCCCCTGAGAAACCATCCACCACCACCACCCGCACAGGGGGCAATCTGGTCAGTAGGCCTGGGGGACTGCCCCAACACCCCCCTGGTGCCCAGGGAGGTCCCCAGCTGCCACAGGAGGGAGGGAGGGCTCACCCCAATATGTGCTGCTGTCCAGGTCATCGTCTAGCACGGCCCTGCCCAGGGCAGCAAGGCCCCGGCTGCCCCCCAGGTAGGACTCACTCATCATGGACTCGCTGTAGTAGGAAGTTTGGGTGCTGGGGGCGGGAGAAAGGCGCTTCGTGCTGCTCGATTTCCTTCTGATCGTCCTGCTGGGGCGAGAACGGGCTCATCAGCCACGTGTGGTTATGAGGTGGGGGGGGG